GCTATAAGCAAAAAGCATCACATCTTGAAATGATTGTTCCGATATCTGAGCGGCTACAATTATCTGCTCACGAGCTCGATGTGAGGGTATTGCATCTGGACCAAGGTGGCCATCTTTCAAAACGTAGGCTGAGAGGGCCGAGTTAGGGCACGTCCTTCATAATCTCGTGGGGACCCATATGCGTTTGCCTGGGATGACCCGAAGGTGTGAGCTGTGTTCTTGTTTTTCTTGGAAGTCGATTGCATTCAACGCCGACCTCACCCCGAAAGCTTCCTACACTGATCGTGAATTCGCTCTGCCTTCGTGATTGGATACATTGTAAACTTTATGCACGCCACGTGGTGCTGCAGTGCCTCCGGGATCGGCAATTTTTTTTTTTTTTTTTTGAGCAAGCGATGTGATGTGGTGACGTCAACATGCAAAGTCCCATGACGTGGCGCCACAGTGAGTCAGTGATAATATCGCAAATTTCGGCGACCTGTTACGCCACGATGACGTCATATGGCAACGTCATCACGTGGGGGTTATTTTTTTGTATTAACCGAATTCGACGGTTACGCTTGGAGATTGACGAGTAATCAAATAATTTTTGTTGTAATAATTGTTGAACGACCCAACACTTATTTCCGACTTTTCCACTACACAACACATCATAGTCCAAATATCCATCAACAACACGAAATTCAATAGAGCACCGTTAATCATCGTCAGTCACAGTGAATCATCATTAAGCCACCCTTCATATCACTGGACACGCATGTACACTCTCCTCTTAAGGTAATTTGCAGCAGCCAAATAGCAATCGCGTTAAGTCCGGTGCAAAGTGTGGATGTGCCCTTCGCGCACACTCTCGAAGGCGCGTACACATACGCGCTTTAGTAGTGACGCTCACGTTTAAGGACAAATACCAGTCACTACGCACCACGAGCCCAACGATACTACCGGAGGCGACTCAGCCGTTCTTCGACGGGGTTGAACCGAACACCTCGCTTCGAGAGTTGGGACAGTTAGCCTACATAGCGGCCCCGTGCGCGTGATACGAAGCGGTGAACAGCCGCATACGCCAGCAGCAGCGAGAGACCCCCCCCCCCCCCCCCCCCCCCACCACCACAACGATCGAGTCGAGCACCGCTAATGGCAAACACGAAAAAGAGCGCAACCTACACGAGGCAGGCGTGTGCACGCTGTACGATCGTGAATCCAATACCGCATCAAGAAGCCATAAATTCCTGCCGATTTACTCTCGGCGTCGACGCTATCTGGCCCACAATGGCGCTTCCGGCACGCACGCTTCGGCTCGGGAAATTGCGTGCAGTGCTGCGGAAGCTGCGAACGGGAACTTAAGCAGGGCTTATTTTTTTGTTCTTATTCTTACATTCTTCAAGACCATTAGAGAAGTCACGCAGACTCACATTGCCGCTGCCCACCACCATCTCATGTAATATGCGAATTGAAGTACGGAATATTTAAGGCCTTAGAATCTAAATAAAAGCGACGCGGGATATGTGGTGTGTGCTGTATGTGCAGGTCACTAATGACAGTAATCCGGGGTATGGGACACTCATGAGATCGTAATATCTTTACAATGTGTCTTAAAAACGATCAGCTCTGGTGCTGCTGTACTGCTATACGAATCGGTGCGGCCACAGTAAACCAAGGTCAGCGATACTGATCCAGTGGTGCAAAAAAAAAAAAAACAAAGTGTCAAGTCGCACACGTTATATCACAATATCAACAACAACGCGGCACGACATTCACGAGAGAGAGAGAAAGAGATGAAGAGGAATGCCGGGAGGTTAACCATTATATAATACAAACGGTAGTAGGCATAGAACCAATCGAAACCAGGAGGCTCTAATTGTCTTAGTAGCAAGAACTGAAGTTGCGGTAGCGAAAAAAAAAAAAGTCGGCTCGATGACTGCAATTTGCGGGCTCATTTATTCAAGCGGTATAAAATATCGTAGCAGAGAATGCAATACACTTCAGCAGTAAGACACATCGTAACAAGCACTAAGCTTTAACCAGATGAACTTGCGAGAACCTAATTGTGTAAAGCCCTTATACAAAGCGGAACGCGAAGTAATCACTTCTCAGGATCCCACATCGCACGTAAGCCGCAGATGTGGGAAGCATTACGTAAGATGTTAAGTATAGCATGAATAATGGACAGTGGCTCTTAATAAAGACCTACGGAGTTGTACAGGGCGTTCTTTATATTCAACAAACAGGTCAGGCCCCAAAGGTTTGCGCAGATACTGCACGGACATAACGAAATGCAACGCACAGTCACGGGCGGTCTTCCTATAATTGAGTTTTGACCGCCGGTGCCAACAGTACGACCTTATGATCCACCGCCTTCCGGATGCCAGAAAAATGATGCGGAGTCGCCATCAAGCGAAAACAAAGAAGAATGGGAAGTATAGGGGCCAAAGGGCGGCATTGTACTGTAAAAAGCAATCCGCAAACACCGCTTGCCCTATACACGCTACCGTCTTCTAGGCCTTCGCCTCCCCCGGCCACGTCCGGCCACGTCCGGCCAGGTCCGGCACGAAACAATCAGTGAGAGTGTCCTTGTCCATCCGTGTGCCTCGCAACAAAAAAAGAAAAAAAAAGGCACCGTTTGTTTCATTATCACCGTCCCGACATTTGTTATGCGAAGGTTACGGAGCAGGGTTGGTGGCAAGCTTTGAATACAATGGCCACTGGCCACTGGGTACTGTGCCGTACGATACCGTGGTCCACCCGGTGGTCCAGCAGGGAGTCGCCGTAGCTCCTCCGTTTCAGCTTTGCGACGACTATAGCGTCCACAGTATGAGGGTCAGACGTTTTTACCGTCTTACACAGACGCTCTCTCTCTCTCTCTCTCTATTCTTTCTTAGGCAAACTGGGTAACAACGCAAGGACGACACAGCTTGTGTCACAAGCGATAATTCTTCAGCACAGCAAACAAAAAATTGCACGAAGTTCCTTGCAAGTGTGCAGCAGGTATACCACGCTTCCCCGAAGACTGATGAAGGATGGCTTAGTGAATGCATGCCTACTACACAATGACTAATGGCGTAGTGGGTACCCTGCAAGAGTGCTTGCAGCAGATACCCAAAGAGTGTTAAAAAAAGGCTCCTAAAGGCCGCTCTTCTAGTCTTTGCTATTACAATGCGGCGCGTTCTGCGCAGGCGTGGCGGTTTTTTTAGGGAAAAATACGTATTCAATTTAGTCTTTATATGAAACAATACACATAGTTGATAGTCAGCGCTTCCGCTATAGCCTGTGGATCTCTGGACGAAGAGTCCCACCCACTTTAGTTGCTAACAGAAATTATCAATAAACGTTAAATCTCTCTCTCTCTCTCTTTTTCTCTGTCGATTGTCACAGTCTGGCTGTATTGTCCTTGCGTGGTTACCCCTTAGAGTACGCACTATTCAGCCTAAGTTAACACCTTACTGCTATCTGCCGATATCAGGTGGATTATCGTTTTATACCGAGAAGATTATTTGTAACACCCGCGCGATGCTGCTTGATCAGGTGCTCGGCGCGTTAAGAAGCCTTGAAGGCGCCAAGAACTGGACTTGAAGAGGGAGGGATGAAATCTCGGACAGCACAGAGCGGGGGGATAGAGACAGTAGCGTAGAAAATGAGCGGTTACTTTTTACGAGGAGGGGCCCGGCTGCCCGAAGTTTGTTCCAAGCGGGTACTGCGGTGGTCCCCTAATACGGGCCTCGCGTGGCTTTCTACACAGTGGCGGCTATACAAGCAGTCATTCACAGGGCTGCATGGACCTGTTTGCCGTAAGGGGCCGTCGCAGCGAGAGGAGAAAAAAACAGCGAGAGCACACCGCACCAGCGCTGGCAGGGTGGTGCACGTAGCCGAGCTACCACCTCTAATTCCAGCTAATTAGCAAACTCCAGTCCTTGAAAACACGTCCGAGGGGACTGTTTAAGCAAGGGCGGGTCTTTACAAAGGTGCGCCGGCCTATGAAAGAGTTCGTGTGTGAACGTGAGTGAGCGAGTGTGTATTTGTGTTGCATATAGAAAAACAGACTCGCTACTCATACAAATGTGTTTTCGGACTTCCTTGCGGCCCCTTTGAGAGCGATATTCATCACTCTCTCTCTGTCTCTTCTATGTCCATTGTTTCTTCTTTTCCTTTGCTTCATTTTTGGAGTGTCTCGTCTCATTCGACTTCCGATAACAACACCCCTTTGAATATGGGCGTCTCGCTTGTCCTCCGCTGCTCAGTCACGTGGTCTGCCGATGGCGCGAGCTCGCTGTAGGGAATTGTCTAACCCCACGCTAACCTCCTCCCGTCTCTCGCTTTTGATTACACCGGCAAGCGAGGAATACACACAGACGCTAGCGGATCGTAGCCGATTGCGAACCGAAGCCAAGCCCTTCCCTCTCCTACGCAGCAGCCTCCGGTCAAGGTGTGACCGCGCTAAGATGGTCGGCGTGGTGTGGGAAGTGAGCGGTTTTTTTTATTCTTCGCTATGGAGCCACGCCCAGAACGTTGTCTTCATTAATTTTTGTTTTATTCGTGATCGCGAATGCTTATGAAAAGTAAAGGTGGCTCACAGAGGGGAGAGGCACACTTCGCTTTTGTTTTTCTGCACCGACGCTGCTGCTGCGAGGGTCTTTGGCTTGGGGCCGTCGCATTCCAGTCAGAGTGATCCTCGTTTAAAAACGATGAGTCACCTTCTTGCATCTGAGGGGAGGGTGTGTGGTCACGGCGGAAGAAGGCAAAGGTGTGCTGTGGGCAAAACAAGCAACAAACAACGCGCGAAGTGAACGCTACTGACCGCGTATACAAAACAGAAAGCAAAAACGACACAAAAAAAGGCAGGAAGCCAGTGGCTGCAAGGGATCACGCTCCCTTTCCGCAGCACCGATGTGTGCGGCTCTCTCTAACGGCTTGTCCGTCCGTTAGGGCCGTCAAAAAAAAGAGAACCCTCCTCCTCACCCATTGTCTCCGTGGCCCCAAGTGGATCAGAGGGAACGCATATATAAAGCTCGGCGCCGGTTGTCCCAGCACGAAGCGAGAAAAAAGTTGTTCAACAGCCCGAGTCGAAGAACTTTGTCCAGTTACGTGAGGTTGTCCCAACCAAGAAAACAATGCAAGCCTTCGTAAGTACATGCGCCTGCTTCAAACGTGGTTTTCGACTCCTTCCGAGATCCCTTGGATTTACTTGACGTCTGGTTAAATCTAAACGGTGCTGGGTATGGGAGCGACATTGGAGGTAATCCCTTCAAGCTGACTGTAACATCACGATATTCCCCACTGAATTGATTGATTTGTGGGGTTTAACGTCCCAAAACCAGCATATGATTATGAGAGACGCCGTAGTGGAGGGCTCCGGAAATTTCGACCACCTGGGGTTCTTTAGCGTGCGCCCAAATTTGAGCACACGGGCCTACAACATTTCCGCCTCCATCGGAAATGCAGCCGCCGCAGCCGGGAATCGAACCCGCGACCTGCGGGTCAGCAGCCGAGTACCTTAGCCACTAGACCATCGCGGCGGGGCTTCCCCACTGCGTAGAAAAGCTCCTTACTACAATGAACTTGTTCGCAACGCGAATAGTTCCGACTGTAGGCTTTATAAAACATGTCCTGTGAAAGCGGCTCAATGTTTGATCTGCCTTACGGTAACATGCCATCGGGCAATGAAGTTGCTGAGGCAATTAGATTGGGTGCTACAAGTTACGTTGGGTGACGAAAATTGCAAATAAAGTTAAGACGCAATGCAGAGCTCGAGCATGCGATTTCATGAATGAAACTAAAGCGATGCCCCACTGTTTTTCTGCGTACAACTGGAGAAAAGAACAGAAAAATAGACAAATAATGAAGAAATGGGAGAATTGTTTTCAGGGCTGCCGTTTTCGGTGAGAGCACACGGAGTGTTGTATAGTTCCTAAAGAAACGAACGATTCTAAGGCGCATTGAACGCCCAAGTTTAGCCCCGAGTAAACTTAATCCAATGACAAAATTTCGCACGTAATGAATTGCATGTCTGCGAATCTCAGAACTATGGACCAACTATTAAATACAGTGCGCTGCTGATTGTTCTTCCCAGATCGCAACAATCCTTCTCAGCTTCACCGCCTCGGCTCTGGCCGGCGGCTACGGCGGAGGCTATGGTGGAGGCTACGCCACCTATGCCGCTCCTGCGGTGGGCTACGGTTACGGCGTAGCCGCTCCTGTCGCCGCCAAAGGCCTGGCCTACGGCGCCACCTACGCCGCTCCAGTGGCCGCCTACGCCGCTCCGGCTGTCACCAAGACCGTGTCGTACGCCGCCCCCGTCGTTGCCTACGGCGGAAACGGAGGCTACGGCGGCTACGGCGGCTACGGCGGATACGGTAGCTACGGATACGCCGCGCCTGCTGCGGTCGCAACCTACGCTGCTCCCGCTGTGGCCAAGACCGTCGCTACATACGCAGCTCCCGCTGCTGTCGGCTATGGCTACGGAGGATACGGTCTCGGCGGCTACGGAGGATATGGCCTCGGCAGCTACGGCGGATACGGCCACGGAGGATACGGAGGATACGGTGCCGGATACGTGGCCCCCGCCGTCACCACTTACGCTGCTCCCGCGGTGGCCCGCTACGCCGTCCCGGCCGTAGCCAAGACCGTATCCGTGGCCCCGGCCGTCGCCACCTACGCCGTGCCGGCCGTAGCCAAGACTGCCGTGACGTACGCCGCCCCCGCCTACGGAGCCGCTGTCGCCGTGCCGGCCGTGGCAACCAAGGCTGTCGGCTACGGTCTGGGCTACGGTGCCTACGGAGCCGGCTACGGCTCTGGATATGGCATCGGATACGGCGCCGGCTACGGCCTCGGTTATGCGGCGCCCGTGTACGGCCACTACACCTCCAAGTACTACAAGAAATAAGCGTGAGTGTTGGAACTATAGATGCGGCGAGTCCTTTTTTTGCAAAGTTCATTGGGTGAATGCTCAAGACAGCCAGTCAGTCTATCTCGTCTTTTTTTCTCTTTGTCAACCTTGCTCCACGTATTTCAGCCTAGTATGTACCAACTAGCCCAACATAACGTACAGCCAACGTAGTCGAAAAAAAAAAGAAATGTCTGAACACCCAATGCTGATTCAAACATTCGTTGTTGTTTCGAGTTGATCGCGGCATTTCCCTGTAATAAGTTTTGAGTTGATTAGGTTCTTGCTTTGCCCTTGCTAAAGACTGTGATGCACGCGATATTTCAATGTGGGATATGAATAGTAGGCCGGCGCGATGAAAAAAATTTTGTATCTTTGCTGAGCCTTTTCTCATTGCCCATAGCTGAGGGCAACGGACGAAAAACCGAGAGAAAGGATCGAATTACGACGGAATCCTGACATTTTACGAGCCCTAAATTGGAAAAAACGCCGGTTAGTCGATTGTCCAGCGTTATTGGAATGAGCCTAAATGCTTAGGTCTTTTACCAAAGAATGTAGTATGAAGACCAGGTAAAAGGCTTATTCTAAACATGAAAGAGCAAACCCAACTCATTTCACATTGTACAGCAATATAACAATAAAGGGTAACGCACTTGTAAAATCACTCAATTAATTCAGTTTTTTTTTTTTAAGGCGGTGATACACGTACCACTGTAGGTTCAGTTTGACACAGTACCTTCCACTCTGTAATGCTTTGTGGCCACTACCCACGAAGCGGCATCTTTAAACACCTGGAAGAGTAGGAAATAATTGAAATTTATGAGAACATGCTGGTTGCAAACGTTTCTAGGTGGGAAGCATTTTCATAGCTTGCGAACGCATGGCATAGTACACGAAGTATGATCAATTATCACGGTACAGGATATTTCGACAGACCGTCATTTTGACGACTGCCTTAACGGCACATGCATTCGAAGGAATCGCTTGGCACTATTATTTATAAAAACCTACAATAATAATAACCTTAAGGTTCAGATAGAGCCTTGCATCACGACGAATGTCAGCATAATGCCAAGTTACAGCGGGAAAGGCTTTCAATCACCCGAAATCATTAGGAGGAAGTTTCCTATACTGGGCCACACCACAACGGGCAACAGCAAAATACCTCGAAACAATATTGTATTGATGCCTCATTTTGTTGAACACCCTAAAGCTTGCAACTGTCCACTCAACTCAGGTGGTGATTCTTGCTACTCTGTACCTCATGGTTAGACGTGAAATAACGCTAACTAGAAATATGAGTGCTGTGACTTCATGTTTGCACTTGCGTTCACCACTAATTATCATTAAAGTTAAGTAATTCAAAAGTTGTGGCTTCGGGTACCAACAGGAGCAAATTTTTTTTTATCGTGCACTTTACACTACTAAGAATTATGCGATAATTGCTATACCACAGTTAAAAAAAAACAATAATGTCCCTTAAGCTATTCTTGGCTTAATTATTTGTCGGACTCATTAAGCTGCGTCGCGCAAAAAGAAAAAGCTTTTTGAACAATTCTTCTTCTTTACTTATTCTAACACTTGGATATGTATATACATTAACTTGACGCTAAGAAATCATCATGAAAAGTATTTCTATGCATCACAACTACGTTTAACCTACGATATTTTTTTCATTCGCAGTGTAAAAAGATCAACAAGGCAAGAGCCGCACGTCACAGCAGCTCGCAAGTTTCTCGGGCTTCCACCAGGCATCAGGGCATCGAACGAGATTCACCATCGAGACAAGCTTCCGCACTTTTTTTCTTCGTATTTATTTTCCTGCTCGGTCGACTCCGAACTGCCGACGCTTCTCTCGTCGAAAATAATAAAAAAAAAGTTCGCGAAAACATCGACTGAGTATGTGCTTCTTCTTATCCGAAATCTGGCTATTTCTGTGGCTTCACCAACCCAGTTTTCAAGAGCCGAATCCGTATACTCTCCACAAGACAACAAGAGCTCCAGCCAGCGTTAGTTGTGATACCCGTAACGGTCTGACAGCGAGGACAACGACATCATCATTTTCTTTCCTATTGCGATAAGTTTCCAAACTGCTTTGAAAACTACAGGAAGCGAATTTCGTATTCACAAACGCCTAAGAACTGTGGCAGTGGTGCTCAACTGTGAACCCACAGTCCAGACTATGCCGTGAATAGCAGAGGCGTGCGCAATGTTTTTCGGGCGCGAAGACTCGTCGCTGGGCCCTCTCTTTATTATGTCCGTGTATGGGGCTGATTTTGCCCCCCACCCCCCCACACCCCTCAGAGTTGCAACGTCCCCTCCCTATTATGTCCGTGTATGGGGCTAACTTTGCCCCCCCCCCACCCCTCCAAGTTGCAACGTCGCCTCCCTATTATGTCCGTGTATGGGGCTCACTTTGCCCCCCATGACTTTGCCCCCCCCCCCCAATCCGAGCTGCAACGCCCCCTCCCTATGAATTCAATGAGTGCAACCGACTTTGCGCCCCCTCTTAGATCACTACGGAGGGGTGCCCCCCCCCCCCGTCCCCTTCGTACGCATACCTATGGTGATCACATACTCTTATAATCTCTGTCTTAAAACAGGGAAGCGCAAAATCAAGGAGGACAGGAAGGAATACAGATAATCATTACACAGCGCAATATCTATGTGCCTTCCTGTTCTCGTAGATTTTGCGCTTCTAACTTCTAAGACAGAGATTATAAGAGTGATTACAAGAAGAAATTCTAAGAATATGTAATTTAGCGCAGCAACATATTGTAGCGCAGCAACACATACTTTTATGATCTATAATTGGGCTATCGAAGGTGACTGTGTGTAGCCTGCGTTAGAGGAAATAAAAATTAAATTAAAAGTGAGCACAGTGAAACCACTGGCTGAAAGTTTCTTGATTGGCCAGTCTCGTTGGCTGCAAACAGCTCACCATCGGGGTGCTAGGAAAGTAATTCGACTCATGTGTAAAGCAACACAGTTACATAAATCATGATATATCGCACCGCGTTCATGCACTTGGAATAGGGTGAAATCGGTGCCCCGCCACGGTGGTCTAGTGGCTAAGGTACTCGGCTGCTGACCCGCAGGTCGCGGGTACGAATCCCGGCTGCGGCGGCTGCATTTCCGATGGAGGCGGAAATCTTGTAGGCCCGTGTGCTCAGATTTGGGTGCACGTTAAAGAACCCCAGGTGGTCGCAATTTCCGGAGCCCTTCACTACGGCGTCTCTCATAATCATATGGTGGTTTTGGGACGTTAAACCCCACACATCAATCAATCATTAGGGTGAAATCGGTAATTCCGTCACATTCTGAACCCATTTCCTGCTGCAAAACCGCCTCAGTGCCTTTTGCAATGTTGTACCATGCGAGGCAATGGCAGAGCCACTGTTGTATTACACTTCCTAAAAAAAAAAAAGAACTTGCGCCATAAAATAGGCAGTTAAGAAACAGATACAGCTTCTTTTCAACATCTATAGTCCGCAAGTGAAATTTTAATTGATACTTTGTCGCGCATGTTTGCCCCAGTATTTGCTGATAGTTCTGCTGCACAGACATTTTATTTCCAATGGGGCAAGCCCATTCAGGGAAATAGGCACACGAGAAATAAAAAAAAAACCTATTGTTCGAATTACACTGTTTGCCAGACGGTCACTGTGCCAATAAACGAACTTCACCCATGCTCGTTGGTGACTGCAAAGTTTCTGGTTCGACCCTGTAAGAGTAAGTAAACTCTTGCCATTATGAATTGGCTTCACGATCAGTTTGTGATCATATTACAATCAAGCTTTGAGTTAAAGTTGCAGCTTATCGATGATGACGCAACATTCAACAACCAAACCAGGATGATCTTGGGTTCATCAAAGAATTGGAGTTATCCGACGTAACAATCATGATATAGGAAACCATGGCATAACAGTCAACCTCGCAAGAAATTTCAGTTGCGATGGGTTCTATAGTCGTTGACAACCTAACAATAAATAGGAGCTCCGCCACTATGCTGTGGTGCACGTGTTTTTGATCTGAGCAAAGAAGTGGCGCTAAATAGTTCTAACCGTTAACTACTTGTTCGTTAATAATGAATCCCACTAGTCTAGAAGGGTAGAGCGTCGAACTGTGAACGCTGTTGTCATCCACAACTACTACTTTAGGTTAGCTACGAGCTTCCGTTCACCTTTTAATTATAGTAAAAGGACCTAGCATTCAGTGTGACTACGTTAGAGATCATTAGAGTGTCGGAATTTGCACATTTCTGCAGGAGACAGCAGCTCAGGTGACCCGCTGGGAGTTGTAGACAATTGTGATTCCGTCTGTAGTATCCCTATGAAAGGGAACACACGGGCGCACGGCGAGATAGCGTCGAACCCGATTTCTGTCATCCTTCCAATGACACTGCTAAAAGTGAGGTAGAAAGGGCACCGCTTTTCCGCGTACTGTTGTCAGTCACCCTGTGCGTCTACGTTTACGACACGTATAGAGCGTATACACGACACAGATACGGCTTGAAAGCATAGTGGCTCCCGTGTTGTGTTGTGATACGCGCGGACGCACGCACACGCGTGCGTGTGAACATACGCACAAACTGGCGGATGAACTGAAAGGCAGCGATCGCATCCTTCTGCTTTCTTCTCCCGCGTCATCACGGTAGGCCTTGGTCCGCGTGATTGGCGTAACCGATAGAGGGAACGAAGACGTGAGAGAGTGAACGCGGAGTCTATCGGTGTATCACGGGCCACCGGTGTGTAACCTCGCTTTCTCCCTCCGTCACGAACGCTGCTGCAGCCCCCATCGGAGCTCGTCCGCATTCAGGGCTGACAGGAGCTCTGCGGCTGGCTTCGCTTGTCTTAATTTGGCTTGGTTCGCGACGTCTGCAATGCGAAGCGCGGTGTGCGTAGCACTCGTGCGCCGGTAGTTTATGTGGCAGCATCTAGGAAATGCTACCTTGCTACAACTGCGGATAAGCAAAACTTCAAACACATTCGGCGTTACCCAAACATGAAACGTGCATACGTTAATTTAAAGCGCACCTCTCTTTATGCGCTTGTTTCAGCGTTGAGCGACATCAGCGTCGCCTTCACTGGCGGAGTGAACGAGGACGAAAGAGAGCAAACGCGGAGCGTGATAAACGGTGATAGCTATAGGAGTGTGCGAGGAAGATAAAATAACAGTTTGTGTGAAAAAAATTGCCCGCAGCTTCCCTCGGGGGAACACTGAGGAGGATGCGGAGCATGTAATTGGTTAACGGGGTGTTAAAGTGCGACTTACTTGGGTCGATGGCTAAATTGGTTAACGTGGTTGTGAAATGGGGTGTTAAATTGCGACTTACTTGGGTCGATGGCTAAATTGGTTAACGTGGTTGTAGGAGGGGGTGTTAAATGAGTGAACACGTACACACGTATGCGAAAGGGCGGCGCTGGTCGAAGGGACGTCGATCATTGTGTTTGTGGATTCGTTGGAATTCATTTCACCGCGACCTTGGACGTCGACGCGCCGTACAAACCAACCGACGAGCGGCAACTGAGCGAGCGAGCGCCAACCTTCAGTATATATACCGCGCGACGGCGCATGCACTGTCAGCTGTTGAATGTTCTCGAAGCGCGACGCCACATGCGCGTCCACTGGAGAATCAGGAGAATTGTAGATGTCGAACGCGGTGTGTAGAGGAGGAAGGGTGCACAGATGGTGGAATAAGGGCCCCTACAAAGGGGGAGTCCTTATTTTGGAACCCCGCTGGACAAGGCCACTACCCGCGCCCGTTAGACTAGAGCTCTTTGAGCCATAGAGTTTCTTAATACACACTAGAGGGAACTCTGGCGCTAGTGTCTATGGGAGCTGCAACACACGGCGATTCAGTGAGCATGGGAATGATGGGTAGTACACACATTTGTCTAATTTTCGTACTCGTGGCCTGCTTCTGGCTCCGTGTGCGTTCGTGTGGCTTGGAGCTGTTTTTTTTCACGAAAACATAATTTAGCGAATGTTCACCGTTTGCGCTTCATAACCTTATTCTTTTAGGCTTACCATTTCGAATCAAGTCACTAAGTTCAAAAGGGTTTGTTCTTTATTTCAAAACAAAACCGTAACCAGCAATAAACGAAGCCGCAAGTACGAAGACGAGGCAAATGTGTGTACTACCCATCGTTCCCATGGTCACTGAACGATCGCAGCGCCAGAGTTCCCTCTAGTTAGTTTTGGGAAACTCTATGCTTTGAGCCTCCAGCCCTGGCAAGGCGACAGCTTCCGCAGCGGCCCCACGCAGCGCACCACAGTGTAGTGCGCGCCATTGTGCGGTCGTCTATGACGTCATCGCTAAAGTATGCGGCGAGGGCGCTCAGCGATATCGTATACGGAAATAAAGCGCTGCATGTGCGGAACTCTGTATGCGGCGGTGGCTGTTGCATAACCCGACCTTGCGCGGTTTTCCGGTTGGCGAGGCAGTATAGAGGAATACGCTCTGTCTGAGACAGGTGATATGTGAAATGCTCAGAACGAAATAGTCCGCGGTGCGACTCTCGCTGGTCACGGCGTGGTATGCTACTGAACACACACACACGGATCTCTCAAACTGCTTTCCGTAAGTCATCAAAATATCAGAACAAATAGGTACTGCGCTCAACATTGGCATTATGGAATATCGTAATCATCCATAAATTGGAACATTGAAGCTGTTTAGCAAATCGTTCTTCACCATGAACCAATAAAAAAAAATTCGGCAGATCCCACGTACCTGGGAATGGACATCATGAGAAACATGCTGAGGGAAGGTTACCGTGTTGTAATTTTTTAAATACGATAGTCTTTCTTGAGGACCTTCAATGCAAAAATTTTGGTCTGCCTGCCTGTACATTTGTCTGTTTGTCCACCCTTAAAGAACGGCACCAAAATGGCCAA